TCGAACTGAGAAACCTAAACCTCTTTGGCAAAGGATGTTTACCAAGGTCGGAGACTGCAAAGCGAGAGGAAGTATACCCGTTCGGGCGATCTTTCACAAGAAAGCACCTCCTTTCTAAGGTTTGTTGAGATATCGGTCTAGCTCCTGTGCTTTATAGACGTTCAAAAGAAAAAGAGGTGGAAAAGAAACCCCCTTATTTCTTTCCGGAGAACGAGAGTTTAAGCTTTTTATGATGATTTACCCCTCGAAACTCCTGTTTTCAATATATGACATTTAGGAAGTTGCTATGAGCCGATTCCAACAGTGTACAAGATCTAATGACAGATTGATAGTAGATTTACGCGTGAGGGACCAGCTCCGAGATCTGACGACGGTTTGCACTTGACTAGCTATGCCCCAATTCTGCCTGAGATAGAGGGAATTTACCAAATCCGACTTCGATAGAAAGTGCTGCCTCGCTGCTAACTCGCCTAACTCCCTTTACTCCAGTCGACAGTAAAGGACATTTCCAAAGAAACAACTTTATTTAGATTAGAGTTACGCGCGTCAGGGAGAGAGATCCTGATGTTGATAAAGAGCGTTTACCAGTTGGTCGAATAATAGATTCCTCTTTCTCCTATTAGGAGAGACTCCCCAACTCCAACAGATGAATGCGATATATTGGACTTGCCTCGAGCTCACTCGCTTGAAAGCAAGGATCCAGATTCTTATCTTGAGATAGAGCGTTTACCCAGATCCAATCATATTAGGAGATAGGATAGACCAATTCCTAGACTGCCATTTCACTCAGATACTCAGATAAACAGATCCAGACATTAGAAGCTAAACTACAAAGTGCCAGATGACAGATTAGGAGCTCAGCTCGGAAAGGGCAAGGCGATTTACCAGATTTGGACCGATCAAGAGCTAGGAACTCGGGTTATAGATATAGACTGGATTTTTCCAACTCTGAAAGCTAAACCCCTTTGGAAAGTTCCAAGTTCCAGATTAGAGATTAGGACCGAGAAAGCGCTTGGGCTTCAGCTCTGATGTTTTCCCTCGATCGATGTCATAGTGACAAAACTTACGATATTTATGATGATTCACCCAGGAGCGCATCGAAACTCTTGTTTTGAAATGCAGGGGTGGATTTGCGAAAGCGCGATTCCAGTCCTTCGGTTTCAGGCAAGGGAATTACCCAGTTTTGGGATTGAGGCAAAGGAGAAAGGATTAGCAGTCTGGCCAGTCTATCTGGTAAAGCTCCACGGCAGAGTAGAAGGAGGAGAAAGCTGGGATTGGATTACAAGTCTGGTCCATAAATATAGTAGAAAGCTGGATTTCGGAGTCTTTCTAGATTCGAGATGGCATTTGGTAGTCCATTCCAATAAAGGCGTCCTGACGTCGGTACAGTGCAGGAAATTTACCAGTCCCAGTTTTCGGAAACAGCGAATAAAGAGGAGTACAGAGTCTTCGGTCCTTTGCCATCAACCAGCAAGTAAACCCTCGTCTCGGGTATTTCGAATCGGTCCTGGAGTTGGATTGAGGCTTTGAAGTTGTTCTTAGATTACACCGGTCGGGAAATAGGAAAGAATATCGTAAGTAAAAGTGGAGTAGAGCAGGCAAGGGGATCTGGTCTTCCACATCCGGTTTGGGAATAACATTAGTAGCTCAGCTCGGAAAGCTGCAGAGCATCTCAAGGAAAGGCGGGTTCAGGATTCGAACCTGCAATCTTCAGGTCATGAGCCTGATGAGTTTACCAATTACTCTACCCCGCTTCTTGTCCTTCTCAATCTCTCTTTCTTTTCACTCTTCTTTCTATACACAATTATTCGTTGTCTTTTATTCTTTGTTCACTGAAAGCCCTTGTCTTCTGCAAGCATCCTCAACTAGTCTCTAATCTAGCTCACAAGGGAAATGCCATAGTGAATGAAGGGCCACAGTCGTAAGAATTAGGAAGCTAAACTGGGAAGAAAGCTCGAAGGGTGAATCCCTATATAGAATATCCCTCTTCGAGTTCTTATTCTTTTAATAGATTCTCTTTCGGCCTATAGCTATAGCATAATCTTTTACCCCAAAAGAGTGCTCTAAAGCGTCATAGCTCCAAGTCCGAGCCAAGGAACCTATTTCTTATCCGATAGGCCCAGTAGGAGCCTTGTTCCTATATACCAACAAGTGAAAAATTAGGCGTGTTTTCGATACCCCCAGTATCTTACCGGGGTCAAACTCGCAAAGAAAAGACAGAACATCTTTCTATCAATCAATTCTTAATAGAAAGATGAATCGAATCGTAAGGGAAGAGTGAACTCACAAGTCCGAAGTCCTTCCGAGGCCAAGAACTACCTGCTATGAGGACGTAGAGTCAAGTCAATCAGAAGACCAAAGAGAATACTCTCAATGAAGAGTACGATACCCACCTTTTGCTTAAATCCTGGTAATAAAGGCGAGGGTGAAACTAAGGAAATCTTTCTTTCGAAGGCTTTCTCTCAACCTGCCTTCTCTTCTTCGTTGGCATTCTTATTGCTTTCAGACCGAAGAATATCATCCTTATCTAAGTTCTTTCGTAAGAGAAGCTTTTTCAATTGGATTGAATTCCAGGCCGTTAAGGTTCTTCGAACTCCTCTCTTCTACTCATAAAGTCCGGACCGAGCAAGGAAGCTCTCTACTATAGTATCAAAGGAGAATCCTCACTCAAGAGTGGAAATATCGTCAAATGGTCAACGTATATAGCAAGAAGGATAGCGAATCGCCTCTATTTTATTCCTTCTCGCTCGGGAGCCAAAACGAAGACGCCTGCTACCTACTGGACAAAAGACCAGGCATTCCTTGTCGAATAGGAAGCACTGCATTGCGCTCTCAGAGTTGAGCGGCCATCAATTTCCGTACACAGATATAGATAGATTCATTCTTCCTACCTGGTCCAACCAGTTGCTTATAAGTCCGTCTTCTTTGGGTGGGTTAACGGAATTGGATAAAGAAAAGAGATCGACCGGAACAAGGGTCAAGAAAGACCGTCAAAGCATAGAGCACTCCTCCCCCCTTTCTCCCTCTTAAAAGCTTTAAGGCGAACCCTATGGTGGCTGGAAAGAAAGACGACCTCCCTTTCTCGTAGATGGTGTCAGTCAGAGCGACTTTAGTCTCCCCCGTTGACCTTCTTAAATAGATAGAACCTTCAATGAGTGGAAAGAAGAAAGCAAGCTAAGAAAGGTCCTTGGTCGCCTTTAGAGCCCTTAGCCCCGTCCTATGGGTTGGGTGCGTGGAGCGCATCTTTCTGATCTCGATCGACGGCTTTCCGATTCTTTGATTGCATGGGCTGAGCACCTTAGCACTCCTGCAATCAAACTAAAGGGCTAATGTGCGACCTTACCTTTTCTTCCTTTGCTCTGCAGTAGCAGTAGGAGCCTCATAGAGAACTGCGCCCTTTAAATAGAATGTTAAGAAGAGGTTTACGCAGAGAGTTGAATGTAGATTCGATAAAAACTTGCATTATATACCACATCAAGGAGGAAGAAAGGCCTCGCTCTCTTTTAATATAAGACAAGGAAGGATGCAATTGTTCAGAGGTTCTGCCCTCTTTTCTTTTCCTATTCAATCCTTCTTTCTTTTATTACGACATCTTTTTTGGGGTGTATAGCTCAGTTGGCAGAGCATTGGGCTTTTAACCGCTCCGTGGGGGTCGCAGGTTCAAGTCCTGCTATACCCAAACCTACCTTAGGCTAACCTCTTTTTAGTAAGAATGCCTAGTAGCCTTCAAATCTCACTCTTTGGCCTTTAGACCCCCTTCAGCGACTTCGCCCTTTAAGGCCTCAGGGTAAGGAGTAGTCAAAGAGTGGCTCGGTAAGAGCTTTTGACTAGTAGGGACTAATCACAGGTTAAGAGTCCAATCTCAGAGATAGAGCTTAGTCTCTCTATAGTCGGTAGTCAACTAGTCTCAGGCCTAGGTCTTTACTTGATCCAATAGAGTGAGAAGACCTTTCTATCTCAAAGGAATGGTGCTCGATGAAAGGATGGAGATTCCACACCTTGCTGTGAGCTCTTGAGTTCCCTCCTCTGCGAAACAGGGCCTTTCGTCTTTTTATGGAGGAAGCATACTGGAAAGAGAATAGAAAGAGCCTTCAAAAAAAAGCTTAAGAGTGATGGGCAACCTTTTTCTATATCTTCCTTGTGAGCCGCCAAGTACCAGTCTTCCAAGAGTACTGGCCCTTTAGGATTTAGGATCGGTCCTTCACTTGCTCATCCTTTGCGAGTCGAACTCCCTCTCTTCTACCCGCAGGGAGCGCATAGATAGGACGGGCGAAGGGGATGGATGTCTGAGCGGTTGAAAGAGTCGGTCTTGAAAACCGAAGTATTGATAGGAATACCGGGGGTTCGAATCCCTCTCCATCCGCGAGGTCAATTACCTCTCCCCAACGAACTTTTCGAAGCTAAGTTCAGTCATAGAGAAATGCGACTCTATTTCAAAACCCACGAATCGATCGTAGCCAGACCCCGCCTGGGGTTAGCTTGACTTTTGGTCCCGTTTCTGGTGTTTTAGTCACCTTTCAATGGACAGAGAAGTCAACCTTCTTTCCTTTTAGACCCGAAAGGTCAAGGGACTGAACTTCGCTTCGTTTCGTTTGTATGGTCGAGTATCTGAAAACCTTGTCTCAGTCGCAGTTGAAGACCGGTACTTGCTTGGTATTCTTGGTCTCTCCCTTTCCCTAGTTATTCAAACAGTAGGTCTTGCAGAGCCTGTCTTATCGGTCTCGTCCCTCTCGCTTTAGCTCGATCTCCTTACAGTAGCCTTTCACCCCTATACCTTGGCTTTGGTCTTGCAGCTACTTCGTCAATTACATCGAACCTGTGCTTTATGCCCTTCATCGATATATATCTATATGTATGCCATTACCACTAACCCCGAGCCTGCAACTCCTCTTACCGGGGACTACTAAGACGACAGCTACGGGGAGTGAAGACACCACCCACATAGAGAAAAGAAAGCGGAATAGCGGTGACTTTCTTGAGTGGACTGTCCTACGCTACGCAATTGGATGAGTCAGTGGTACCATTTCTTGTTTTGACTACTATTATTTATTGTATGTTATGATCATTTTGATTTGCTGCTACAAGGCCGAGAAAGCAAAGGAATTTTACACTGCAATAACTACAGATGACATCCATACTCTCACAGTTGGTATGAATTCATCAATAGGCCACTAGTCGGGGATGTCTAACTTCTATAACCACATTGACAGCTGGAACTTCATTAGCAGCAGTGGACGCAAGAGCATACTTCCCAACACAAAAGCCGGGATTGGAATAACCTTTGCTTCCGGCCCCTTATTGCTCAGGGCTGGATGATTTTCATTCACCTTCTAGTGACTCTTGTGAACTCATAGCATTCTCTTCACTTAACGGCTTACCCGTGGGATATCATTAGATAAGGGCTCCCCCATCTTCTTTTCCAAGCTTTTCACCGGCTCAACCGACTGCCTTACCCAGGCAGGGACATATTTCACCGTAGCTAGTCGAGCCCAACATGAACTAAGCTCATTTTACACCGCTCATCAGATAGTGTTATGGGATGGTCTAATTGGGGTAGCTATTCATAAAAAGGTTGCCCAGGGGTCCGAGTATATCTAGTGAGTCTTACCGAGGAATATCTTCAGTCTTAAAGTAGAACGTCGGTGAACGGAGTCATCCGGCGTGTTTTAGAAGCGGACTTCGGAGTCAGCATGGGTACACAGATATAGACGATATAGTTGAGAGGGTCCAAATTCTAGCTTAAAGGTTATCTAATCACCTAATAATAAGCCCTGGCAAAGGTTAGATGCGGAATTACAAAAGTAATTATCCAATATACGACGAAGATCAACGATGGATGGGAGTTGGATCATACCGTATTCCCTGTCAGTAGGAGGAGCCGACCATTTTTGGAGGTCTTTTCGACCCTACAAACGAAGTGAAGGAAAGGTGTAATTGACCTATTCAGTATGAAGGTCGCAATCCCCTTAGCGAGTCATCTTACTGGGGAAAAGGAAGAGTTTGGCTTGACTCGCTCTCCTACGAGGCGTTAAGCTCCTTGCCTGCCTTCATGTCCGGCTTCTTGTACCCTTCTCAGGACAGCCCTCATCATAGCTAGCTCAATTACATCGACCCTGCCTTCCCCGCCCTTAGGTACAACTCGGCACTCTTATCTACGGGGCTTCTACAGCTACTTCCTGAGGGAAATGGTCTCTCTCCATCTGTTGTTTCTGGGTGATTTCGAACACTACAATACGTGAGAACTTCGATAAGTCCCAGTTGCGAGGCTTCGCCGATTGAGAATAGCTGCAGCCTATGGGACATTGCAGCGAGGCTTCGCATCAGGTAATACCACCTAGTTGTGATAAAACCTGTCCTAAGCTTCGCCCTGTCCAAGAGAGGGATGCCCGGGTGGGTAGACCGAACGATAAGGGAACGGACTTGTCGAGCCGTGACCGGAAGCGCGTACCGTCCGAACTGAACTTAGTAGTGAAAAGAAAAGCGCGCACTCCAGTCTAAGGTCTGAGATCTCCTTATGGAGTCTTTTGACCTAAGCGCGCTCCTCAATTACATCGATCCTACGCTTTCTCCTGCTTTTGCCCAAAAAGCGAGAGGCCATAATTAGTATGCGTCGTTGCTTGTTTGCATTTTAGGATGTAGCACCGGGGTCATATACAGAAAGTTAGCCTTATACAATTAGATAGATAGCTGTACCTATATAGCATATTTTCTCTTCCCTTTGCCCAGCTAAACGCAAAGAGAACAATTGCTTCCTTCCTTAACGGAGTCAAAGAGCGTATTCGTACCATCCTGTTAAACAGTCGTGATGCGGTGAAGCGGTGCGGCTCGGCATGCCTTTCTAATAGGGTGGTTTCGTTCGGTTGGTCCCGGTTGCCCGTCCTAGCTTTACGACGACTCCGCCCCCACTTCGAACAGCGAAGAAGGAATAAATATAGGCTCGATGTAATTGACCTTTGTCTCTGCTGTGTTTTCACGCCGAGAATGATTTTCTGATGAAGAGAATGAAAAAGTAGCAAGATTTCAGTTTCACCGAAACCTCGATAGGTTCTTTCTAGTTAGGCGAATCAGTTTCACCGAAGTAGGCATAGCGCCCAAAAGGATGTTCAAGTAAAAGGGTATGATGCAACAACAGAGTTATGCCAGTTCTGAATGTTTAAGATTTCGCAACGAACAGCGAAGAAGGTCTTGAACCAATGAACATGATACAAAAGCAACAACAATGATCCGCATGGTTGGGAGGTCCTTTTGTCCTGTATCCCTGGCTCGCTTTTACGCGAGAAAAGCAGGTAGTCATGGAAAAGAGGTAAATTACATCGAGCCTAGCGAAACCATGAAAGTGAGTTTCACATACCGACGGCTAGGAGGGGAAAGAGTCCTGTAATGAGGTGAACAACTGGACGTTGAAGCTGTTGTACTTGTACAAAAAGTGAATCGGGTTAACGATGTTATGGGACTCCGACTCCAATACCACTTATGACGCACGTTGTTAGCGGGTTTAACTGAGTCAACCGTGCATTCGCACTGGGAACTGACCTTCTCCCATCCTTATAAAGAAGTGAGATTCCCAGTTTCACCTTCTCCTTTGTTCCTGTGACTGATGATGGTTTCATTCGGAGATGTTGTGTAGGGGCTGGCTCTCTTTAGTACCGCTGAACCGCGTAGCTAAGAAGTAAGATGTTTAGTAGTATAGAAGCCGGCCTCGAAGAACGAGCCTTAGTGCAAGCGGGGATATAGCAAGTAAGCAGCAAGGTTCTCCCTTTAGGACCGAAACAAGCTCGCGACTCTAATATCAAGAAAGGAACGAAGATTTGCTCGGAGCTGCTCACACTTGCCTGGTATCTTCTCTTTGCGCGGGGGCAGGAGTGGTCTGAGAGAGCGCTTCGCGAAAGAATCGTGTGGCGCGAGCGTTGGTTAGCCACTCCAGCACTTGTGGAAGAGAGGGCTGAGTTGATATGTTGGTGTCAAGTCAAGTTACAGCAACCGATGCTTTTCTTTCAATTGCGTGCTTGCTGCTAAATATTGCGGTCGGTTTGACCTACTATTGGATTTGAACCAATGACTCTCGCCGTATGAAAGCGAGACTCTAATCGTACAAACTTTTCGAAGCGAAGTGAAGTCATAGAGGAAAGAGCGCTTATTCGAGAACAGCCTACTTTCTTACTGATGGCATGGCCCTTTCCTTGAGCTTGATATAGAAGAAAGGACTGAGAAAGTATGGGATGAGAGACCGACCGTAGTAGCAGAAAGAGCTCTCTTTGGAATGTTATAGGGCGTGGCGTTAGCAGCACCTGAGAAAGATCATACCCCTCTCAAAGACAGCGACTTCTTCACGACGAGTCTCTTTTCCCACTCGAGCCTGGAAAGAGGCTCTATTAGAAAGACAGATTACGACCGGATTGAAGACCTCCATGATTTTCTCAATCAAATCTGTGAAGATAGACATGACACATCGCTGAAAAGTCCCTGGGGCATTACAGAGACCAAATGGCAACCGTCGGTAAGCAAATGTACCATAAGGACAGGTAAATGTTGTCTTATCCTGGTCCGACGGATGTATCGGAATCTGCAAGAAGCCCGAGTACCCATCGAGGTAGCTGAAATAAGAATGACATGCTAACCTCTCAAGCATCTGATCAATAAAAGGCAAAGGAAAGTGATCCTTCCGGGCGGCCTTGTTAAGCTTGCGATAATCTGTACACATGCGCCAACCGGTGACAGTCCTAGTGGGAATCATTTGACCTTTCTCATTTGCTAAAACAGTCATGCCTCCTTTCTTGGGTACAATATGAATTGGACTGACCCACTGACTGTCAGAGATAGGATAAATGATGTGAGCACCAAGAAGCTTCAATACCTCTTTCTTTACAACTTCTTGCAAATGAGGATTAAGCCTACGCTGGTGCTCACGCGTCGGCTTAACATCATCCTCGAGAAAGATTCGATGCATGCAGACTGTAGGGCTGATACCCTTCATATCATCTATAGAATATCCTATGACTGCTCGATATCGACGAAGAATTTCAAGAAGACGGTCAATCTCCATAGGAGTCAGACGAGAACTCACAATAACAGGATATGTATTATCAGATCCAAGAAACTCATATCTCAAATGCTCAGGAAGAGGTTTCAGATCTACCTTAGGAGCTGAAGATGGTATAAGATCATAAGTAAGAGAAGCCTCCTGAGAAGAATCAATTAGAGCTACAGGAGATGGATCCATATCATATTTAGTCACATTTCTACCGGTGCACTTCTCATGAAATAATTCCCTTTCCAAGGAAAGGAAAACAAGAACTCGAATACTCGTAATAGCGATCCTGATCCACCTACTTTTTTATATTCTTTTATTCGAAACGTGCTAAAGCACAAGCCATTTTTATGCATGGGGCATAAGAGTGGACAATCTATGTTATCGAAGGAAGTAAATAACAACACTTCAGCGTTTAGGTCTACCCACCCTCATTCAGTAAACCAATAGTTTTGCAGCATTGGAATTTGAGTTGGCCAGGTCCTCTAAAAAGAAAAGAATAAACTACTTAGAATAGATAAATGCCATTGGTTTTCTCGTACTACGATCTTTTTTGTTTTGTTTTAGGCCATGATTGTGCTGCTCCTGTGAAGGCTAGTGGGAAAGCTCACCGTTCGTTGTGATGAGTGGGGGCCTTGTATCTGTATTCGGATCAGCTCCTTAACATAGTTTCCGGCTTGAACCCTGGCAGGCCGATCTCAGTTCCGTTAGTAGTTAAAGAATATAAGGTACCATGATGTATTATTAGTTGGAACCAAGCATTATAGAAAGTACTAGTTATTACAAGCCAAGGTAGAGTGCATTTATCCTGCCAGGTGAAGCTCCACTCAACAGCATCCATCCGCTGGGCTCTTCTTTACAGGCCATCAACAAGTAGAGGAAGGTCGATGGAAAAATCTTAGGTAAGCAAGTTTGGTCACCTCCGTGTGATGGGAAAGAGCTAATCTTTGGAATCTAGAAGGTCATTTAGTCAGTTAATAGAGCGGGACTTTTGTGAAACTTATTGGAGCTGCACTTCCTCGGTTCGCGAATGAAAGGGTTAAAATTCCACCCGATCAGGATGGATTTGGAAAATGGTCGGTTAGAGGCTGCTCGTTTTGGGCTTTGCTCGAGGTGGTGGTCACAAAAAAGGGGGTCACTCAAGTGTACGGCATTCTTTGTCCGTCCAGATCGCGGTACATGTTCGGACTGCTCTGGATTGTAGAGGAACACTGGCTAGGAACTGGGCTGCACTAAGCCCGGCACTTTTTGGGAGGAAAATCTAAGTCTTCTTATCCGTTTCCGCTAGATAATTGCTTTGCCGAGGCGCCGTTGCTTGTTCGTTACGAGCTCAACTCAATAGAACGGGACTCAGGAAATAGGTGCTACTACTACTCTACGCCCACACCGGATATGGACCGAACTGTCTCACGACGAACCCAGCTCACGCACCGCATTAATGATTGTTTCTCAATCAGGAGCCTCTACTTCGAAGTGTTCCGTTGACCAAAGCAAAGGTAGAAGGGGGTATCTGCCCCTCAAAAAGCTCTATCCAGATGAGGATGAGGAACTACCGTTGTAGGATCGGAATACTACATTCCTATGTCTAGGGATAGGAGCCGTCAAAGAAGGTGCCCGAGGAATAGTATTATTTAATGGATTTGAGCCGTGCCCTTGTTGGAAAGAAGGGGAATAGGTGTCTTCGGCCGAGGTGCCGTGACTGTGGGGAAAGGGCCGTACCCTTCTATGCATGTGGGGATTCCAATTCCTAATCCTAGGCCTCGCTCGTCCCTCGCTTCATAGGAATAGTACGAATCCTGGTCATCGCTAAAGCTGTTTTGCCAACCAATCCTTCCTTTCGATCAAGCAATCCTTCCGATAAATCCGATTTAGCGCTGGAGGGCCGTACCTCTATTTACGATAATTGCTTTAGGAGCAGGTGCCTTTTAGGATTAGGATTCGGAAGTACCGTTGTTTCCATAGAGGATTTCGCAGTGCCTGATACTAAGGTCATATACGCAGCAGTTGGATCCGAGGAGCAGTTTATCGAAGAAAGGGATCAGCCTGCTAAACAACAGCATCTCATTTCCCATGATGAACACATTGAATCTGTTCAAGTAGATAATTCAGATTCGGATGAGGATGATCGTCTAATCGGACCCGCCCCTTCCTTTTTCTTTGTCGCTTCTTTTTTCGGAGCGGCCCCTACCCAGCTCGAGCCAGAGCTTTTGAGTTTTCCAACTAAGTTCCAGTTCGCCAGCCACTANAACGGATTGAGCAACTAGCGCGAAAGCCGTTGCGCTAACGCGCATCCGTTTTCTTGCTGCTTCGAAAAGTTTGTTGGGTTCCAAACCTCTTCCTGCTCCACTGGTGGGATCAAAGCAAGACCACTATTGAGGGAAATTCAGACTCACTCTTGGCTGAGAAGACTTTTGCCCCACTGGCAAAGGTTACTTTTGTAGGGCTCTGATTGCAGTTGCCACGGTGTGAAAGGAAGAGCCTTGAATCTTTAAAATGTATGGATTCTAATCTTTTCCCTTTGTTTACAGATTAGATATTATAATGCTCTAGTTATTGGGAAAGAAGTAGGATTCACCGCTTATAAGGAAGTTGGCCGTAGGTGTTCCTAGCTCCTATATCTCTCTTGTTTCGAGAAGAGATGATCGGCACGATTGGTATTCAAGTAAGTAGAGCTTTGCTGCGTACTTTCTTTTCTGGCATAATGGCTTAAAGCTCAGACTTTCACTATTGTTGTTGGTTGATCTGTGTATCACTCATTCCCAGGAGAGGATGGATGTAATTCACCTCGACCAATTTGCCAGACTAAGCTTTTGTCGGAAGAACCCCTTTTATTCTTATAGAGGTCAATCTGTCAGACATGCCATGTTCAGTCTAATTGCCCTCTATAAGCCAAGCAAGGAACTTATTGCCTGGAACAGATTGACCTAAGTAAGTGGGCAAGTCTGGGACTTTCGGAAGGGGGAAAAAAATAGTCAGAGTTTAGATATCCCACGCACATCCATCATCATGGCCAAAAAGACGGTCTTTCATGAAAAAGGAGGAACAGGTCAATTACATCGAACCTGCGTTTCCATACGAAATTCCTTGAGTTGCATGCTCGGGTGGGTAGGTTGATTTGGGCAACCCATACTTATCACCCGCTTCAAAAAGATGAAACTAACATGTGCTTTTAGGAAAGACGAAGAGCCTTCTATGACTTCACTGCGCTTCGAAAAGTTTGTATTGTCACCTCGGCCCGAAGGAACCGCTATGGCTATACATATCATCAGTTTCATTGGGACCATTCTTATCACAGAAGAACAGAGATGGTAATGAACAAGCATTATTTGAGCAGTGTCCCGAAAGGACCGGAGAAAATAACAATTCCCCGGTCGAAAAGATGTGCCTATGTCTGTACTTTGCTGCGGTCAAAGTGACTCTAATTTGCCAAGGCAGACCTTCATCATCGCTCGCACAATACAAGTTCAGCCGCCTTTCCCTTTCATTCTTCGGGTGGTCTGTGATCTTCCATGCACGGATTCAAAGCATAGAATCGAAAGAGGTTACCTTTCTGTACTGGTCTTAGATCTCTGCTCTGACTCTATTCCATTCCGTCAGCTTTGGATGGACAAGTTGCCAAATGCAACTAAAAGAGAGACCTCAGGGTCGATGTAATTGAGAAGTCGGACTCCATTATCACGACAGTAACTTAGAAGGGGTTCATCCTCCTGTCAACCTTGCATTGGCCAATGCAACTTATATGACTTTAAGCTCTCACCATCAATCCTGGCATAGAATAGTTGTTCAATAATTCAAACTCAAATCATATGAATAATAAAGGGATTCCTATCATGCTCTCAAGCCCACGGGGTCCTTGTACCCTGTTCATGTGACACATGACATGTATAGACATTCCGAAACCAACCGTGAAAGGAATAGTTGGAATTGCCTGTTTCCCAACTCAAGTCGGGTAGGGCAGGTCAATTATATCGAGCCTTTGATCAGAGTCATTCAATCTCCTACTTACTATGCTACTCGCCCCTACCTTTATTATCATTAGGCAGCGCCCTTTGTCAAGGTCTTCCTCTTTACTTTGGACTATTAGGCTTACTATGCCTACGACTTTCTTTCTATGATGAGTAGAATAAGAAGTGTGAATCTAGAACCAAAGGGTCGATGTAATTGAGCTCGTGATGACCGAATCTTTCTCAATGTAATCGACCTCCTTACTTTAACTATTATTGAATCAGTCATTCATACGATGATGCAATTGAATTATCGATTGCTGCTACTCGGTCTTGTCTTGATCTGCTACGGTGGAAACTGTAGGCTCGCTAGACCTTATGCTAGCTCTCTTTCTGCTTCTGCAGGGCAAACTGCCGAATCCCTTGTTTAAAGCTTCCCTCCCGTAACTCACTAGGCCCTTTGTGGCGCGAAGTGCGCTGTATGGGGCTTTTAGGTGCCGTTCTTGGCACAATCTGTAGCCGTGGAATAGATAGCCCCCTTTACATTACTACATTACACAGGGGGTAAAGAAAAGAGTCCCCTGTTATGAAGTTTAGGACCTCAATAAGGCATCTTGCTGGGTGTTGAACCTTGTAATGAGAACCTGATTGATTGTGCATTCAATAGACTACTAGAAACAAAGAGTGATCTCATCTCGCAAAAAGAGCATAGGTGGATTTGCTTAAGTGATCACTAAACTTTTGTCTGCAGTATCTTTTCTTACTCCGTTCGGAGGTGAAAACACCCGGAAACGAGCTTGACTGTATGCTTTTAAGCCGATGTCGTAAAACGCTAGGCGCGTTAGCCCTAGGTTGAACGAGTCACAATGAGCAGATGTAGTAAAAAAGGACAGAGCGAAGAAAAGGCGGCAGTGATTGAGGATGAGAGGAAGTTGGCTCGTATGAGTTGTGAAGGAAGTTAATGGTTCTCTATTGGTTGGAGTGGGCTTAGTTGATAAATGATGTAACGATTGGTATCCATTTTAAGGAGAGGAGCGGAAGACACTCCAGCGAAGCCTAAGAGTGAGTGGACGTAGTAAAGTGAAATACAATTAAGAAATAAAAGAAAAAAATTCCCTTTCATAATAAAATGAAAATCAAACTTTGACTTCACTTCGCCAATACTTCTGACTGAACTTCGCTTCGCTTCTAAAGTTGGGGCGAAAGATAGACGACTTTTCTATGATTCAAAGTGGGAGCTGTTTGGCTATTAGTCACTTTTCTTCGCTCCTCAAGAAAGACGGTTGGGAACGGATCTTCTTCCTCTCGCGATGTGGCATTCCGCCCGCTCTTTCTTTGCATTTCTTTTGCTATCAGCGGGGGGGCTTTCAGAGAGCTTTCCTTCTTCCATCTCTCCAGTCCAGGAAGGAGGTTTATCTCCCCACCGGTTCTAGCCCGTGGGAAGATACTCGAATCATAGATATCCATATTACCTTTGCTTCCAAGACTACTACCGTAAGAGTAGCTTGGAGGAGAGAACGAATCATAAGAAGGAAGCCGACGGTGGTATTGCCGAACCCCGGAAAAGGTCACTGAAAGACGGCAATGGAAGAATACCTCAATGTTCTCGAGGAGTATGTGAAAAAAGGGGCGAGTTCCAGTCGCTTTAAACGAATTCTTTCCTGAGTCCTCGAAAGACGAGAGAAAGCAGCCCCGCGTCGAGTTTTGCTGTCGCATAGACTAGACATTCGGGCCCACATTTGTATACGTCTACGAATTCCCTATAGTGGAAGACGAGGATAGGAACGTATTCTGGGACGAGGGTCGATGTAATTGAGAGAAGTTCAGACAATGGAAAGAGAACCTTACTGGCTCGATGTAATTGACCTTATCTCATCCAGTCCCATCTGAACCTCGTTTTCGTCAGAGTCAGAAGGGGAGTCTGAAACAGCCTTACTCGCTAAGGGTAACGAAATGATCAGCAAATACTTGGCCAGCATTAGATACCCTAATCGTACCTCAAGATTCTAAGGAAGCGAGCTGACAGCTGCTTTGTAGTCAAGAGGAGGACGAGTGATTAATTACATTAAACCTTGTCTAAGTCATCTCTGTTATGCTACTTCCTCTATAGAGCGACAATCCTTGGTCCAGGCTTTCCGTAAGCTAGATACCCGAAAAGAGCTGAGCAAGTGGATTAAGGGCGCTTCTCTAGGCCATTTGTTGCTCTGTTTTAGCCTTTTTTGTCGTGTCATAACCATTTGCCTTAGCCCGGGTCAGAAGTTTTGGTCTGTCTGCCCATTCAACCTTTGCTCTATCCCTTGTATACCCAGGATTCCTTCGCTCAAATCAAAACTCTGACGGTTTACCTAGCTAAAGACCTGTTCCCTAAACATTGGAGCTTCAGGCATGCTATACTTAATATATACGGAATGGAGACTTGTTTTGTGGTCCTTCTAGTCCCTTTACGCTGTGAATGAGCCTCCGTGACAAACCGTCTGCACGATTGGCCCCACTTCCTAGATGATACGACGGAACAAAATCCTCTTCCATTTGTCAATCGTTAGACTGCCCACGTTGTTCTTTCTGCTTTCTTCGTTTGGCACAAGGGTTCAGGTATGACTACCTGTCTTCTAAACTTGACATTTACAGGTTGTTGGAGTGAGAAGACCTAAACCAAAGGCCAGGCATATCTTTTCTATCGGTAGTGGGCTTCTCCTCTGGTGCGTTCTTGCCGCATATCATCTTGTACCATAGTAAGAATCGCAACTGACCGAGGAAAAGAGGTAAGGGGATCCAAATAGAATGTCAGACTGGACCTCCCTTTCAGTCAGCGAGCGGTAAGAGTTCCCTCTCATAAATGGCATTTTCACCTTTTCTACCTGGTCGTATGAAACGGGCCCTTGCATACGGATACCTTACTTTCTTTAAGGCCCGCCAGGTTCGATATAATTGACCTTGCTTCCAGCTTTTTCCTGAACGTTTTCTCTTTCTCGGTGAATCGCTTTCAGTCTCTCTTTTGCTTGCTTTCCCTTCTACGCAAATCCTGGCTCGATGTAATTGACCTAGCACCCCATAGCTCAGCCGTTGTACTACATGAGGATCGACGAAGTTGAGAGAAGAAAACCCTTCACCCTTATTGATTTCAAATGAAAAGAAAGCCTTGTTCATCTCTTATTAAGCCACCAGCAGTCGCTTCCGAGGAGTGGTGTCGCACAGCGACATCTCTATTTACGAGCATCGTACCTGAAGGTTTAGAATCCTAATCCAGCGTGGGTTTTGGGCAAAGTGAGCAGCACTATGGCGCCATGCAATCTCAATATCTCTGCTCAGTTTTAATGCATAATGGAGAGGTCAGGTCACAAGGAGAGCCGTCAAATATTCTTGACGTTCTCGATTTCCAAATACTCCAGAGCATCGATAGAAAGACCGTACCCCAACCAATTCCATTGACGAGAGGTCTCTCTTTGTAAAGAGTTAGAACGCAGCCAAACATTAAAAGAACCCCGAAAGAAGTTTTGGGGAATTAAATCCCTCCCTAGTTTTCTCCATGAAAAGAGAGCGTAAGGACAGCCCCTGAAAATATGTGAAGCCGATTCCAGCATGGCAAGCACCACAACTAAAATCCCCTGTCATGCCTTTATGACCACGCACTTCATTGAAATGACGTTTATTATGCCATAATATCCAAAGATAAAATCGAATCCTCTCTGGACATTGAAGTTTCCACATCCAATCAAGGTGAAAGGAAAGCTCATGGTTTGAACTTCGTCAATTACACCTTCCCTCTCCCTTACTACTTCTGACTTCACTGCGCTTCGTTCTGTTAGTATAACTTTGCTCTCCTTATTTTAAGAGTAGACTTGCATTTCATTTATTCCCCTCTCAAAATGAAGAAAGACTTATCTCTTATCTGCTGAACATAAAGCCGGTAAACTGGAAAGAAGGAATTTCTTTCTATTCCCTAATTACTAGACCGACCTGCAACATTCCATAAACACCTAGCGAAGAGATTGTAACTGAATGACTTGATCAGATAGACAACCTTTCATACGCAATTACTCGATGCCAATCTCGCACTTGACACGCTGATCTCACACTTCAATCAACCCCTTCGTAGACAACCTCAAATATCCCCAATCGGGGCTCATACTAAAACACCCCAACCTTTCTTATGAAGCTATAAGAGGGAACGAACGAAGCGAAGTTCAGGCTCAAGACTTGGAGAGCGACAAAAGAGGTAATTGAGATTTAGTTAAGGCGGGTTAATCGTATTCTGGGCTGGAGCTAGGGTCGATATAATTGACCTCGGGCAAGAAGAAGGGCAAGGGCTTACAATACGCTCTGCTCTGGGACTGATGTAGATCCTGTTGATGCGGTTAATCCAAATTGACCTGGAAGGCCCCTACTAACAATACAAATAACTGAAATTTTCGAAAAAGAATTTGTAAAGCCTTTCGAATCAAGACAAGGGGAGATGGGTAATTCCGGGAATAGGATCTATCCCATACCCTTTTTTTAGTATTCTACCTGCTCCGAAAACAAACAATAGGCTGGAGAGAGGAGGAAGATTCATCATGCGTCACCCATGTGCAGCCTACTCTCTTCGCTCTCCTCCTCTTATCCCTCCTTTCTTTCCCACAGGCAATTAAGCCCACACAAAGGTGGTGCCTTGACGCCGGCAGTATCCCAGGCGATCAGAGACGCCTACAGTCTTATAGACGATGGTCTTTTAGGGTGGGCCCATATAGGTTCGATATAATTGACCTCCCTGCCCTCGGCTGTTCCACACCACGAACCGAGACAAAGAAAGAGGTGGCGAGCGAGGCTCCTTTTTCTTAGTAGCGTAGCGGTGAACTCGAAATTACGGGAATCTCATAAGAGAAGAAAGGTGGCCTAGAGCAGATTCAAGGTAAGCCACAAGGCTATCCAAGTTCACAGATGTCGTTGCTTGTATTGATTCTCATCTATATTTTGTTACTGTTAAGTTTCCTTCTTTTTTCTTCTTCTCTTATAGGGATGAAATATAGTATAGTAAGGGAGCAGCCACTGATCTCCCTATCGGTTGAGGCCTTCCGCTCTTCTTTTTATGTTAATCCAAAAAAAGCCAAAAAGAAAAGTAGGTCAGTTGATAGTTTGATCGAGGGGAAGAATCGACAAACAAGGGAGTAAAGAAGAAGAAAAAAAAGGCAAGCAAGGAAAAAGAAAAGATGGGGAGCTCAGGAAGCCTTTAGCCCTCTTTCTTCAGCAACAGTGGACATTCTTTTCTCCCTCATCGCACCTTACCCTGATATTGATATCGTGCTTTGTTATAGAGATATGGGATTGAACCTTCAACTAAGCACAATGAAAAAGATCATTCTTGGAGCAAGCTTAATCCTTAGAGCAACTAAAGAGATACAAAGGGAGAGAGAGCTTGCTTCTTCTAAGCTATTAGATTGGCATTCCTCATTACTTATTAAATTCGCTATTTGCATACCTAGACGATTGATCAATGAAGCTATCGCGACTGGCCAAATTCGTTGATAGTAGGCTTTGTACCGCTTTGCGCGGTTCACCGCTACACAAGACATGAGGTTTAGGCTGACGCCCCTTTTTCATTCCCCACTTCAATGCGCCAATCAATGCGCTACGCTGGCTGTCAGAAAGAGTCCAATCCCGAGGTGAGTCTCGACTGAAAGGAGAGGAGAGCCATGAAGTTGACCTTCTCCGAGTCTGGCTGAAGAAAAGAATGAAATTGGTTCTTCCTTTCCTTGGCGAAGGATATTTATCTGAATCTATCGTAACTCTTACTGATTCTAATTCTAAGTAAAGTCAGAAAGATAACTTTGAAAAGACTTCTGATTTTTATTGTTTGAAGAAAACCCACACGTACCTTGAAAAGTCATCAATGAACTGGATTCACTTCCATTTTCAGAGTCAATTTCCGGCGACTGGACCAATTGAATATGAATAGCGAATGCCGGGCAAGTTCGCTAGCTAAGAAATGGGGTCGCCTTTGGCTTGCTCGTCTCATTCAAAGAGAAGCAAGCCCTTTGATTAGAAAGTAAGGAAAGACGAAACAAGCCTTGACGTTTAGGCAACTTGGACGACTTATAGCCAGCAAAAGAGCTTTGAGACTCCCCGCCCGAGGATGGGAGCCTTTCCGTCAACACTTTATCGAAGTTTTAGTTATTGCCATCCCTTGCTTGGCCATTTCTAACAAATTTGATGGACGACTTTAAAGTGGTACTCGGCATGGATTTTCTGCGACAGGTAACACATAGTTGCTTAGGTAAATACAACATGGATTCTGGCAATGCAATGTAGTTGGACTCTCATGTCGATTCGAATGAATCATCCTTTCCACGGAGGCTCGATGTAATTGACCTGCTAGGCAAGAGGATAGCAAGTTACAAATTCTGTCTCGGTAGGATATACATGTATTTTGCATGAGAGAAGAAGTGATCCTCCCTTTAGACCATAGCCACTAGGGACGAGAAGTCAGTGACGCTTTCTCAGAAGGGAACAAGCAATGAAGACAGGACTCTATACCAGACCCGAGACTCGAGCAAAGCATGCCAATCTCTCGAGTGCAGCTGGATCCCTAAGATGAATGAAAGTTCTCATTGTCAATCGGTCATCTCGGTCACTCAATCTTATCACGAAATAAATCTTCGAACGAAGTACCCAACGAACTTTTCGAAGCGAAGTGAAGTATACGAATTCTTCTTCTTATTTCTCTACACCATCATATCCTTCTGTTCTTCCTTCTTCTTTGTCACATTCAAGAATTCGTAAACTATGCAAAGGCTATTTGAAGAATCAAAAGCAATAAAAGCAAAAAAAATGCTCAACGCCCTTACGAGGTAGTGATGAGTTAAACTACTCGTGTTGGCATGGAAGTCAGCCCGGTAAACGGATTCCCTGATTTTTTACTGAACTTCGCTTCGAAAAGTTTGTAGGGTACGAAAGTCAGATATTTAGAAGGTTTGCAGGGGGTATGAGAGATAAGCAGCTATTGTTTCGCTACCACGCTGCATCAAAGAGTAAAATTCATCAAAAATGGGTCATTAAAAACTATTGATGCCGAGGCGGATCGCGCAATTTATAAGGCGCCGGAGAAGCATGTTAACGAGGCGCTTTTAAGCCCTAGGATATCGGGAGTACCAGATCATTAATGCCACTTATCTCGGAGAAGGAAGCACGCCAATTCAGCCAAGATTGCCACAAGCAACCATCATGATGGCGAAACAAATCAAGGGGCACGGTTACGAATTCGGGAAAAATTTGCAAGGAATCGTCGCGCCAATCGAAGCCCAGGATAACCAAGGCACATTTGGCCTAGGCCACCTGCTTCGTACGGTAGACAGATCTTCTCCCACGCAACACTATGCAATTTTCTTTCCTCGTCGGCTTCTCCCCAAAAGAAGCGGCGATTAGCTTTGTCGATTAACTCCACCTTTAGGAATAATAGTAGTTTGCATAGCATAAAAAGGAATAGCGGAGGTAACCGATTGGACTCAATTACATCGACCCTTGCAGCTTTTGATAATGTTTTCCCCTTCCAACCGGATAGTCTTCTGGTAACTTTTGACACGAGGAAGGTGTACAAATGAGATCCATTGCGCCCGTGTATAAAGGGCATACCAAGATACATCCCCAGATTGTTGGACCGGCCACCCGGACGAGGGCCTTTTGCGCGAAACGGATCGCAAATTGAGCCGGATCAATGAAGAAGTAAAAAGCCTCTCTTCTCGAGCTGTGGAAAAGGCCACCTTATTCAAAATGGGATTACCAGGATCCGCGGAGGAGCAAAAGAAAGATATTGCTCTAATCCTGGATAACGTCCTTGATGAATTGGACCTATCCCAGCGCTTACGAAGAATTCAACACTGGAAAAAGAAAGAGATTAATAATACTAACAGTCTATTTTTGGTGACGGTATTTGAAGAAATGAAAAAGCTCTAAGCTCCATCTGGTTTGATGGTTGCACGTCTTTCTGTTATGAATTGCGGATTTCGAAGTAAGGTAACAGGATTCGATCTTCAACTCTTATTGAGATCCGGAGTTTTTCGAGAAAGGGTCCCTTCCCTCAATATCATGATCGGGTTCAAAAAAAGGTTAGGCCTGTCCCCAACCTGCGCCTTCCTTCTTCGAACCTTTTGGTATGTATTGCCCCCTAACTATAGATCAGATCCACCAGACGGAGAAACTTCAATTCCGCACTGCTGCTGAGTCGTCGGACTTATCCACCAAGGGATTCGTGGAATTTCTGTGGATTGCGTTGGGGGAAATCTACCAAAGCTAGGCAGATAGATAGACTCCTTTCCCGCTGCTAAGGGCGAGCAAGAAAGAAAATCCAATGATTTGAACCCCTCTCTTATAAGGTATGCAGGTACTAAGAGTCCTCTCACTACCAACCAGCAGACATCATCTGGCTGGGTCTTGCCGGTATCAACAACGAGAAAGAAAGAACCAAATGGAAACAGCAACTAACTATGGCTCTTGGCCCAGACAACGTCCTAGGCGTAGGGGAGATTTTATGACTTCACTTCGCTTCGCTTCGTTCGTTGGGTCGATTACATTGAGACGACGTTTTTCTTCCTGGGCTGCAGTAAGTAGATCGAGAGGTCGTTCCGCCCCTTGTCCCCTAAGTTGGGTAATATGTTCTCGACCATTCTTGCTCCAATCTGACCTAGCTGGCGAGCGATCCCAGTTCGCGACAGAGAACAAGACAGCAAGCGAGCGTACCTTTGTTCGCTTCTTCTCCACCAAGCACGGAAGTTTAAGGATAACTGTAGGTCGGTGGCTACCTAAGGAAACTCCGATTCGATCCGCCCCCCGGCTAGGAGGCATCTACCTCATCCCGATCACAAGGAGAGGTTCACTATGATGGGGCTACTTTTTTGTCCCTTCCTCCAAGAATGAAATGCATAGGGGACCATCCTTTTGTTACGGCATGCTCCTCAGATTTACGGATTCGCAGGGGGCCTCAGGCCCTACTTAGTTGACTGACAATGACAAAGGCTTGCGAAACTCTATGACTTCACTGCGCTTCGAAAAGTTTGTACTATTCTCAAACTCTTTCATAAGTAAAGTAGGCAAACCTTTCGTTTATGACTTCACTGCGCTTCTAAAGATGCAATTGACCTATTGATGAATGAAAGAAAGCTCCTTACGGACCCTAGCCCTGTAAGCCCACACCTGTGTAGAGTAGATCGTTCAACACCTGCGGCACAAACCGATTTTTGACCTATTCGTCCTAGTATCATAGGCGACCGAACGGCCGCCCCCTAATTACTAGACCGACCTGCTATAATAATTCCATAAACACCTAGCGAAGATATAGCAAACAAATAAAGTAGCCCTATGTTCGGATCTGACAATACCATACCATAATCAAAAGGTACAACGGCCCGAGCGACCAGACTTAACATAAATGTAGCCACTGGAGCCATTCTAAAAAGGGAGAAATTAGCACTACTTGGTGAAATAGGTTCTTTTAGAATCAATTTCAAACCATCTGCTAGAGGTTGTAACAATCCAAACGATCCCACTACATCAGGACCCTTTCGACGTTGCACAAAAGCCATTACTTTACGTTCAGCTAGCACTAAAAAGGCTACTCCTAGTAGAAGTGGTAGAATTATTCCAAGTATTTCAGCTGGAACAGCTATGTACATTTGAGATTTTCTATTCACTCATGATCTGGCCTGGTCGACCCAATCATGATATTGAGGGATGGGACCTTTTCTCAAAAAACTCCTCCTCCCCATACGAATCAGTACTGAAAAGCAAGTGCCCATCACTCCCGCGAGTCTCAAGAAATCCAGGGCAGGAGAAGTTTTGTTACTTCTATATAAGGATTGTGTAATTCTAAAAGAAGATTGAGCGCGGGATCTGCATTGGGGCCCGCAGGAGTGAGACAATTTAAGGTCTCCAGATAACGAGCTATCTCTAATGTGGTGTGTGATGGGTTGTACCTGATACAATTGTAAGTAGTTTTCTACCAAACGGGAAGTTAAGCAAGAGCTCATGGTTATCACCTGGATCCGGGTTGATACTCTCGAACCCGTCCAGATAATTGTTCCGGGCCGTATCGATAGGCCCTATTTGCCTGTTCGTCGGCCTACCTTTCACCCATCCGATCAATGACGAAATGAGCTATGGAGAGAACTATCTTTCTTTCATTATTTCTGCCCACTTTTGTTTTACGCCAGAATGATAAGAGGATGAAAAAAGGTCACCGCTAAGCATAGCTACCAATGCAACCCAAACATTGTCTTTTCTCAATTACATCGACCCTTCTGGTTTACTACTTTTGACTTCACTGCGCTTCGCTTCGTTCGTTCCCTTTCTTTATATAAACAATTATAAGTCCGGGGATGCAAAAAGAAAATCTTCAATCTTCTACTAAAATCTTAGTACACAGAACACTAAGGGAATCCCGACAAAGCAAAGTTGAAACTGGCTCGTAAGCACCTGGGACAGCTACTAAAATAAGAAGTACTACTGCAAAAAGGGGATCCTACAGATATCGGCTACTCGAGGACTTCCACCGGACCGGATCTCAAACTACAGGGTCAGAGACTGCTACTCTTCCTGCCACACCAGGTGCGATTCAATTAGCCTCTCGCTTTTGCTCGAGCTCGAGTTGGGATATCCCTTTTTACTTAACTACAACTACTTCAAAGGGTGGTACTGCGACTGGCAGCATAATCCACCCTGATTCTGATTGAATGGAAATACTCCCGCTTGCCCATTTGACTTCATGAAATAGACCTTTCCTTCTGGATTAGTCTATTGCACCTGGACCGAGAGAGAGGAAGGAACTAACATAACAATAGAAAAAAGAAAAATAGCCCTGGGAATGAAAGAAGCGACGAAAAGCCCACGGAGCGGTTCGATGCAATTGACTCTACAAACGAAGCAAAGCGAAGTGAAGTCCTCAATTACATTGACCCTTATACTGGGTCTATTTCTCACCGGTACACTGCAACTCCAAGGGCATCGAAAGAAACTGCAAATGCAAATGACGGGAAGGCTAGGGGGAAGGATGCCGGAAGCAAAGACGATTGATCTTGTTGATTTAGTAGTTCGCTCAGTAAATCCTTCGTTGAAGGGCAACTAGAATCCCGACGCTCCTCCTTCTCCTCCCGAGTTCACTTCCGGCTTACAGCGGGCTGCTGTCATCCCTCCTTTGGCAAGCTGGAACATAAGAACTTTTCGAAGCGAAGTGAAGTCATAGAGGATAGATGTAATTTAGAAAGCCAGTACGGTACCACTCTCTCCGCTATAAGAATTGAGTAAGCCGATCCCATGAGAAGGGTTTGAGCCGACCGACTCTCCCTTCCCCTGCTCCGGTTAGGCACAAAGATATCCCTAGCCTGATCGGCAAGTAGAGTTGTAGGTTGGGGAATCCTTCTCTTCTTAGAATATCTTATAGGTGACGAAATCTCTCTAGGGAATAGAGCGAAGCATCCCTTTACTAGTATAGTCGTATTTGCTAACAAAGCCTAACCTAGCGCAAGAACTCGTCTCAGCCTGAACTGATTGATTAGCGCTTGGCTTGGAACTAGTTCACCTGAACTGATTTGACTAGAAAGTCATGCTGCATCGCTATCCGGTCGTTGGATAAGAAAGATTCGTTCGATAGTGTCCTCGGAACGGTAATGAGAAGGACCTCCTAATCTAATAGATCTGGCAGGGTTGCTAGGAAGGTCGGGGGGTGGTAATAGATTCTAGTAGGTTCTAATGAAAGTTTGTCGACTTTTCAAGTTAGCTTTAGAGAAAGCGAGCGTGAGGGTCGATGTAATTGAGGGTAGGCTGAACAATAATCACATGGAGAAGGAGAAGATAGATAGGCGGAAGATTCGGCCACTGCTCTTTCTAAGCGTTATCGTCCAAATCAATCGTCATGATGAGACAGGAGAAAGACCTTCTATACAAGCCCGCCTAGAAGGTCAATTATATCGAGCCTGACCTAGCTGAACTACCTCTTAGAATGACTTAGAAGGCTAACAAACAAGCAAGCTCAAATAAGAAGCTCCTAGCTCTCTCTAAGAAAGGAGATCAGCGGATGGGACTGTCACTGAAACAAGCCTTATCGATAGACGTTGAGGTCGTCCTAATCATAGCTTCGTACACTCCGTTCGCAAAGGCCTCGAGCTTGTAACGCACCTTTTTCTGTTTGAGAGGAGAGCAAAGTGAGTCTCGACCAAACAAACGAAGCGAAGCGAAGTGAAGTCAAAGAGCTGCTATCTAACAAGACTAGCCCTATCTAGTTCAAGCCTATAGTGACTTATAGGGCCACCCGGGGTGTAGTCTTCCTAATCAATCCCCATATGACGTAAAGGCGAGCGAACGAGCCAGCTAGCAACTATTTAGTAAAGCCCGGGTGTGAACTGGGCAATTGGTCTACCTTCCCTTCAGTAAAACCCCAAAACCAGCCTATATTTAGTAAAGGGGAAGGGGTAGCTAAGGCGATGGTGTGAACGGGTGGTATCATGTCAGACGGTAGCTATCGGCTAAGGATCTATCGGTGAACTCCTAAGGTAGTAGTTACAGAGGGACCGAGTGAAGGGGACGAAGTAGGCTCCCTTCAAAATATTAGCAAGGAGAGGATAGATGTAATTTAGAAGCGAAGTGAAGGAAAAGAGACCGGATCATCACCTTTTTGGTTCTCCGTCGGATTTGGGAAGTGCGCTGTTCTATTGCTGTAACCAAGGTAGTGGGTTGGTATTCTATATAAAGAGTATAAAGGGATAAAAAAAAGCAAGATAAGACAGTTTAGTTCCATCTTCTGCGTCTATCTAAGTAGATTCCTACGTAATCTCTAGAAGCAAGCCTAGGTTCGGTTCCATATTTCTTTATGGTACTGGGTATCCATCCATTTACTTATGGTCGTATGCAGATGAGATTCTGTAACACATGATGCTCAGTTTACCCTATTTCTATTATGTATATCCTGTAAGACCTCTTTGTATCAACTAGACGTAGGTAGAGAGAAGGGGAAAGGCTAATGAAGCGGGGCATTAAAATAGATTCAATGAAGGGTCGATGTAATTGAGAAAATTCTATCGTATGAGATGAGGACTTGGATGCAGCAAGCTATGAGAACAAGGCCTTGAATTCGGGATACCTTAACGATGGAGGAAGATTCTGTTCTAATGGCAACTCTGGCTTTCTTAGAGGTCTTTCCTGAACATTGGTAATGGATAGCAGCGTGGCATGAGGAAGATGAATATAAGGAAGAGATTGAAAGCTATAGCTCGACGGCAAGGTTTTGACTTCTTCATGGATCTCATCCCTTCCTAGCAGATATAGCCAGAGACAACGAAGACAAGCAATAAAACTCCTGCGCTATCGTTGCTCAATCCGTTGCTTCTTCCCTCTGGATCTCGTGCCTTCTTTCCCCAGCCAAAGACCTTGATTGGAATGCTGTTATTCCCCCCTGAGCAAAAGTCAGATTCTTCCTGCCATGCACTAAGCTACTCTTCCGCCTGATAAGCGAGCAATTGAACTAACTCTTGGAAATGCTCTCCTTCTAGATAAGCCGACCTAAGACTTTCCTTTCCTTACACTGCTACAACTGAACTGGGCCAAGCCCAAATAGTTCTTCTTCAGGGCAAAATCACTCTTTCTGGCCTCCCCGGAAGTGATGGTCCAAAGGTTCATTCCTCTCTGCTTTATTAAAGGCTGGTTGACGTAATTCCCAATTGAAAATATCCTCCTCCTCCTCTTGCCAGCACTCTCAAGGGAGCTACCAAGTCGGCCAAGGGGGAATGCCCCTACCTTCACAGGAAGGTAGATAAAGCCCATTCCTACTCTCAAAGTAGTCAAGACTGGAATTTGAGATAACGATATTGGTCTTTCTATCCAAAGCGAAACGTACCCATGGGGCCAAAAGGGCACCCTGAGACCACTGATCACCGCGAGCATAAAAAAACTGCATCAACCACTGCCAACACGCGAGCTCGTAAGGGAATAACACAAAAGAGGAGCGCATCCGTAGCGCCCGCTTTACGTCGATTCCGAGCCGCTTAAGAAGGACAGCTGATGTCGGGAGTGCTCTCCAGATTGGTTCGAAAGTTAGCCCTTGGTTAAGAGGCTACTTTTTATCTGTCTAATTCACTTTTTCCGTAAAGTCAAAATTTATGCTTCCGTTACTCTCTTTTGAGTCTTGCGAGCGGTCCATTCCTGACTTCAAGTTCAAGTCTTCTGTGAGGGATCGATCTTGGGCAAATACACTCGGGGATAGTCCCAGACCAGGAAAGGAAGAAGAGAACGTCGAGCGGACCTTAGTAGGCTTTTACGCAGTCAAATTACTTATTGCTTGACAGCTTCAACAATTGCTTGCCTTTTCTTTCTTCTTTCGTGACTCAAACTCAGTCCCTCCTTCGCCCCAACTTTAGAAGCGAAGCGAAGTGAAGTCAAGGAGAGCCTCTTTCGCCCCTTACTTAGTAGAATCCTTCCTTTTTTGATAGAATCGTGGTAATGGCTGAAGATCGAGTTCACGCTTTTGGGCTTGTGTAAGGATTTCCCTATCGGTTAGCCGGAGAAGGTGGATTGCTTTGGATGCTTCCTGTTTAAAGTAAGGACTATGCTCAGAGGGGCCTCCTCGCAAAAGATTTTTTTCGATGCTTAGAATATAGGGTAAAGATTAAATAAGAAGCTGCGTGTCCCATTCCTTCTCCTCGTCTTAAACCTTTTTTCTAGAATGATTTAAGGTAGCGAGTGCACTACTATACTAAGGCGGAATAGAAAACCCTTCATCCTCTAGGTAATGTTATTTTTAAAGAAATTCCATGCCTCCTTATCTGTCTATGAAGGTCACAGAATGGCTGCTAACTGCTCTGACACCATTCCTTGCATCGTCTCATCGCTAAAAGTGTGGCCGAATCTAAAAAAGAGACTTTATGCGGCAAATCTTCTTGATAGGCCGAATCGTCTTTTCTTCCTTTACCAATGTGAGAAAGACCACCCAGGCTATTTTCATATAGCTAGGGCTATTTAAGCCGAATATGTGGATGTGGACATTCCATTACTTGAACCGGCTCCCGGCGATAAAGAAGAAAGCTCAAGGCGATGACTATAAGTTCTTACTCTTTTCCCAGTTCTCAAGGAAGCGAAGGAACTCCGGATTCAATTCTTTAAGAAAAAACGGCTCAAAGCGTAAAGGCTTTTCCTAATTAAAGAAGAAGGCAGAACTCTGAACTAAGCCCAAAGGCTAGATCCCATCCCACTTCGAACTTCATGTTTTAAGCACGTTGGCATTTAATTTTAACCAGAAAGAGTTCTATGACTTCACTTCGCTTCTAAAGTTGGGTCGATTACATTGAGGAATTGGCCAATGCTAAGTCCGGTTATAGCGAAAAGAAAAGGGAGAGCAGTCAAGCTAAAGCATTATGATCAGACGGGAAAGATGTACAACAACTAAAGAGGTAGAACAGTGGTTAGGGCAAAAAAATGTCCTAATGTTCTACCTCTACTCTAAATAGGGTTTCCTGGTCCTTTCGAACCAGTCTTTCTAAACCTGGAAAAGGGGGCAAAGACGATGCCGGTGGAAAAAAAGAAAAATCTTTCAAATGAAATGAAAAGTACCTTTCAAGCTGTACAAGGAGTAGCATCTGGAGTTCCCGACGCGCTCTTTTTCTCTCTGAACTAGGCGAGAGGCTCTCTACCGTTCATACTGTCCAAGATCTAATAATGTGAAGTCATAAGGTCAGGTAGAGACAGACTGAGACTACCAATCACTGAACTGCGGAAGGAGGTTCCGAAGAAAAATTCTTCCACATTTCCATTTTGTCTGATATGATCATAAATGGATTGACACCCGGAAAGCGCCGGTTCGATCTCGGCTCGTGACAAGACCTTTTTGCTCATATCCCTTGGTATTGCTGTTACGGTTTGTTTAAGGTGCTCTGGAAAAGATGACTATGTTCCCTCCCTTTACTGGTTATCATACCAATTCGCGGAGCGAGTACCCGACACAAACAGAGAACAAAGTCGAAAGAAAGAAAATTCGGAGTTCCGATACAAAGCGTAAAAGCATGAACGGTTGACAAACGAAAGATAATAAATAGTGACAGATTACTTAACCGAAAGCTGATCGGGATAGAACCTGTTGATGTACAGTATGACTGCTGCTACTACCTCTTCTTCTCAATTACATCGAACCTCTCTAAGCGCCTACTTAGTCTACTATAGATAATGACTTGTATTGTGTATTGCAATCGGACATCTTTCCTAAATTTGACATCTTGCCGGCAGAGACCTAGAAGAAAAGGATTTGGAGACTAAACCACTGGTGTACAAATGCCCACGGAAAAGGCGGAGTTCTTAAGACGACGAGTTAGAAAGATAGGGTGATTTAGCAGAACAGGCATCTGTCGGCCGGATCGATAAGAGTGTGAGGAGGTGTATATGGTGTCTGCCCAGCCCCCTGCAGGGATTAGTATTCGCTTGCCTTTTATCCTATCAGAAGGCCAGGCCTCCATCAATGGAAGCAGCCGAAGCAAGTTGCCCACTCCACTAATTGAGAGTGGCTAGCTTAACTCTGAAGAAGAGAAAAAAACTGGAAATGAAATGACAATGGAGTGAACGGACTCTTATGCAGTTGATTCAATTGCGTCGAGCGCATTCTGCCCAGAAATCCCATTCGATGCTTATGAGAGTATAGGATGAATCTTCTTCACTGACGTATAATTGACCTCGACTATAAATCCGAGGTTCAAAGATCTCGACTAAAAGGAGAGGAGAAGTCAGACATCAAAATCTCTTAAAATAGCAAGAATAGCTGGTGGAGTTTTTTCCAGTAAGGTCGACACAGTCAGGAAGATGCTTTCCCACCCTTTCGAAATAGGGTAAGCCGAAGCATTGGCTAATCTGTTCACCCTTTATACCGACCAGCTGTGGTGGGACATCAGGAGTTGCTGCACATCACTAACAATAGGCCTCAGCGATCTGTAGACGACTTTTGACTATGAAATGAAAGACCTGAGATGAATCTCTTTTCATACATACAAAGAGAAGATAGCTATAGAGAAAAAGCCAGGCTTGATGTAATTAACCTAAGTGTAAGTGCATGAGCCTCCGCCATGTCCACCGAAAAAAGTAAGTAAATAGACCCTACAAACTTTTCGAAGCGAAGTTCAGTCATAAAAAAGGAGTAGACCAGTCAGATCTATACCCACCACTCCAATGTTTTCTTTGTGATAACCTGGTTAGAGAACCGCATCAACATGAATCTTAAAAGAACCCATCTCAGGCGGATGCCAATTCAGCTCAACTTCTCCTTGGTGGGACTAGATCGAAAGGGCAGCGGGTACTTCGACTGCCTTGTATCAGGTGAAGAGAGGGGGGTGGTAGGCTTAGTAGGGCTCGAACCTACAATATTACCGTTATGAGCGGTACGTTTCAACCAATTAAACTATAAGCCCTTACGGATCTCTACATGCAATTCGCTCACTTAGGGAAGAGCGGATGGAAAGAGGAGCAATGTAATTGAGGACTGAATTCCGAGGCACGAAGTAGCTCGACGTCAAGGAAAGGAGAGGAAGGTGGCACAGTTAAGTTACTCAAGAGAATGAGCCCTAAACATCGTTTTGTGAAATCATCGCCTTCCACTCCTTCTTTTCCCTCTGTCTCAACCCTAAGCCCTGCCTGTCGCAGAACCGCTGTGAAGCATCCTGAAATTCAATTAGAAATAGCATCTATAACTAGTATACGACGGTTGCTTCGAATGAGGAAAATCCGGTCTCACAGGTCCTGCCTCCAATGTAGTTGTATAGGAAAGGAAGTAGTCTTGCCCACTTTGCCTTACGCTCATAGAGATCTATCAGTATCCATCTTGTCTCAGTAGGCAGCTCGGCCCAGTACTCAACTTTGGCATTCAAGCCTGAGTCCTTTGACCTTCTTTCTTGAATGTTCTGGAAGAAGGGAATCCCCTAAAGAGAACTTCTTTGCTTGCTGGCACCTTCATTTTAACCCTTATAGAATCTTTCCATTTGAAAGCACGAATAAGTCTTTCTTTTTCTAAAAGCAATAAGTAGTACACATTTTTTACTAGGGTTCCCATACATGCAAACATACAAAAGAAAACCAAACAAAGATAGTTAGCATAAATAGGACTCCAGTAAGCATCGGAGTAGATCTCTACTAAACAAAGCCAAAGAAAGTCATGCATTAAAACACACTACTTTGCGTCTACAGACACTTATTTAAACCTTCTTAAAAAAAAAAAGAGTCGACGGAATATTCTAGTATCCCCGGTGCCCGTGGGTGACAGCCTGCACTATGACAATGTAATCGAACCTCCCCTCCAAATCCTCGATACGCTCTCTGGCAGCGCGAATGCGCGCTTCTTTCAAGGCAGGATCCAGTGTTCTAACACTCCTCAAAAAGAGGCACTCTACGGCGCTCTTTCATTTCATTTTGCAGTTGCCCCATTTCGGCAGCAATTGCAGAAAGCCTGTTTGCAGCATCCATAGCCATACGTGCTAGTACTCAATTTCTTTGATTTGAATTTGATGAAGTGAAGACACTTTTCGAGCCTCCATTTATAGAGTGGTAGAGGATCGAGCCTCAATTACACCTCAATTACATCGAACCGAACCTTACTCGACTCTTATTTATTTTGTTTTTCCGCGCTCATCCATGGCTTCACTTCGCTCTGCTTCGTTCGTTCCCTCAATAGTTGGTCGAGCTACCTTCAGGCACCCTGACTTAAAGGATGGAGTGAAGGTTCGATGTAATTGTCTCATAGTAGTAGTCCGGATTTGATACCCATATTACGATCTACAATTGAACATTCCCTCAAGGAAGAGATTGAAGAGAGAGTGGGAGATAGAATTAGTATTAGAAGCTTTCGGCGAATCGTCTTCCTTTATACAATTCGTCACTACCTTTCCTATTCTTCTGAAAAGACAATCAATGTTCCACTGCCAAAGAGATTGGAGAGAAAGCGACTCACAACACCAATTGCATGAGCAATATCCGGCCTTGAAAAGAGACTGGACCGGAGGACAACCATACCAACCCGTAACATGAAAAAAAAAACCCAAAGTTCCCCTGAGAGAAAGAAATGAATTCCAAAGATCTTGGGCGGCTTATCGATCCTTATGAAAGCGATCCCTCAGAAATGTTAACCGTCCTCTATGTGCTCCTTTAATCCTCTCCTTTCAGTCGAGCCTCAATTACATCGATCCTCATTGACTGGAAATGATTGTATCGGTCGACCATGTCTTTCGACCGTAGGATCTATTCTGCTTTTCTCTTGTATCAAGGTGATTCTACGCAAGGGAGTTTCTCAATTACATCAAGCCTTCTATTTCGGTTATTGGTAGAACAAGGCTTCATAAATGACCCTGACCTGTAACATAAAATATTAGCAACAAGGCTCCTAGTCAAGAAGTAGGCGACTTCGGAGCTGCTCTTTCCTTTCCTCCCGACTCCATACGATCAGCGACTCAGGCACAAGTAAATGACATATATAGAGTCAATGGTTGGTTCGAGCTATGGTTGATAAGGAATAGAACAGCAACCGATAAGCAACGGCGAGTTAGTGTTTTATTCCGGGAGGGTGTTTACGTATGTACAGAAGCGAACTAAGGTATACGAGTTAGAGCACGGAACGGAGCTTCTATGACTGAACTTCGCTTCGCTTTGTTCGTTGGGGTAAATAACTCTGCCCTAAGCATTTTTCTTACGCGAACCAAGCCGCGAGAACAGAGCGAGCCTTACCGCGCCTAAAAGAGAGGTATGGCTTACAAGGGGTTAAGAAGAGTTAATTACTATTCTCATTAACAGCATTTCACCAACCAGGCAACTATATGCTTCGACCCGCATGCCGGACCGCTCGTTGAAGATAAAAGTACATCGAAGCCATATGAAGTTTTACAATGAGCAGATTGGATCCATTGAGCAAATCTAGGTTCGATCAAGATTTGTTTTTTCCCGAACCGAAAAGGTTTGAGCACTTTTTTCTTCGAGACCCTACGGTCGTTGATGTAGTTCGGACTGCATGGGCTTTGAGTATACAAGGGAGTGCTGCATATGTCTTAGTTCAAAAAGCTTCTATGACTTCATTTCGCTTCGCTTCTAAGTTGGGTCGATGTAATTGAGAAGAGAATGGAACATAAAAAAAAACGAGATCTTTCATCAGCCAGGCCAGACCGAACCAAGTGACATACTCCAGATGAGTGGCCGATCCCCATTTTTGAAGAAGATCCATATTCAAATGAAGTCGCAGACCATATTGGAATCAAAGGTAAGCCGCTTCGCCTCTGTCTGCTTTGACATAGAAGGATGTCCCTCGTAAGGCTTATCCGCTGGCCTTAAAGCAAGTAGTACTAATGTACAGTAATAAAAGTACTTTAAATAGCTAGGCAGCTGAGACTGGACCAATTTCGTATGTAGCAAGGCCTTCCCTTCTGAATCTCTTTCATTTCATGTCGATCCAGCCGAGGCGAGGGAATAGGTGAATACAGTAGATCCATACGAGGCTCTGAAAGACCATATCTTACTCGCGCTCGTACTCGAGGAGGTAATAGTTTCTCTTTTTTATGACTTCACTTCGCTTCGAAAAGTTCGTTGGATCGACAAAGTTGACCTCGACTATAAAGGAGAGGAATCGAGTTTGACTTTCTTCTTCTGTCGTGCCAGGCGAGCGAGTGCAAGCGGAGACTACACCTATGGAGAGTTAGAGGCCCTATCATTTCTTCTCCCATATATTGTATATGATGGATATGTAGGACTCCGTCAGTATACGTTTAGCTCCGTCTTTGATTTACTATCTAAAAACAAGCTTCTTGCATAAGCCTCTGGAGTTGCACCAGTTAGAGTTTCATAGGAGGTTTTCCCTAGCTTTCATTTCGCCGGATACAAGCTCATACTTTTTATCGATAGGAAGTCAAATAGGCGAGGAACGAGGCTCGATGAAATTGACCTCCTCCCCTGGCCTTAGCTGCTCATCTAGCCGTAGCTCATTGGGCGGATTGCTTTGAATAGCCAAAGTCTTTTGAAAGAGAAGACTTTGAACTTTGAATTTCCACTACCCAACTTTAGAAGCGAAGTTCAGTCCTGGTGTAATTGACCAAGCAGTCAATCGAAAGAAGACAATTCACCTACAGACGATTCCTTTCCTTTACTATTATAGGGCATTCCATGCTAGCTGGCCTTTACTAAATGAAGGCTTAAGAGGTTAACCCTATCAAGTTCAAGGGAGACGGTAGACCAAAGACTGACTACTCTGCCTACTTTTTACGAAGACAGTTAGACAAAAGATCTGCTTCCCCCAACTTTAGAAGCGAAGTTCAGTCAAGGATGTTAATTAGCTCTGTCGGTCGTAATATCATATTCAAGTAGGTCTTGTTGCGGTCTACTTAGATGTCGACCCAGTACTAAAAAGCTAAGATCTTTCCCAACTCTGACTACCGAGCTTCCCTGTCCTATTCCAGTGCAGCCCCTTCTTTTGGTCTTGTTCATCCCTTCTGCGAAGCGTTGGTTGTGGTTGCCAGCTCCTGCCTGACATACGGAAATTCTTTTCCACCGGCTGGATCTGCGGACTTATCCTTCCGCGCTTAACACATGTAATCTGGTGCGTTGGAGCTCCCTGAATCTGCGAATTTTTCATGAACCAACTTTTTCAGGTCTCGAGGGAAAAACCCTTTCTATAGCGCTTACTAACACAGATGTAGGGGGGGCAATTATCATCGCGCCTGGTATCGCTGCCTTGATCACCCACGTAAACTTAGCTATCCTCTTTTTTCCCAGCTTCTAAAGGTCGTGGCACTAGTCATTTCACATGGTTAGAGGAGGCTGTCTGGTTGGACCACTCCGGTGGGGCTTTCTCAAGGCTAAACCTCTAGCTGGCTCACAGTGCACTTTCTCCTTTAGTGGGAGCCTTGCCTTCCTCCTAAAAGTAGTCCGTTATCTCCTTTTCTTATCTCCAAAAATCAAACTTTTCTCTGGCTTTTCCTTTCAGCTTATGAGAACTAGCTTACCCCCGGCCACTTCTTTCCTTTAAATTAAAGGGTGAGCTAGCAAAGAAAGTCAGCAGTTAACCGGAAATTTAGGTCAAATTCTCATTTCGTAAGTTTTAGTAAGGCCAGTTATGGGAAGCAGGCCATGGAGAAAGAGAGGAATCAATCGTCCAACGCTATGTTAACAAATACGTGAAAGGTTTTATTATTCCATACACTTGAACGCGTTCCTTATCAATAGGTTTCGGAGAGACGAGCAATGATTGCTTGACGATCTTCACTGCATGAGACTAGACTTGACTCAAGCTTCATACGAAAGCATTTACAGAACTAAAGCCGTTGAGCCAAGTCAAGCGAAAGACTTATTCGAGAATGCAAATGAGAACGAACTGGAAGAAAAGAAGGTTTCTTGTTTACCGAAGACAGAACTATGGTATGGATGCGTTAGGCATTGTACTTCGGCCCTATCTATCTTGTGGGCTGCGGTGCTTGCTTGCCTAGTGGAACAAACTGGTGCTCGACGTTCAATGTTTGCGGAGCTAGCGGAACCGACAGAATATTGAGATGATGCGACTTTGTCGAGGGAAGGAAGGCATTCATACGATCGTATCTGCTAGAAGGATATGTATTCCCTAACCTAGCGATTCACTTAACTGAACTTTGAAGCTGTGCAGCACTCTGATCGCTCGCGCGCGGAAAGAGACGCAATAATCAAAAGAATAAGCTTCATACTAGCTACCTTCGCTTCGGGGGGTTTACATTCCATTTTGAAACCAAATCTCTCTTGACCTGGAAGCAGGCATGCAAGGGATAAATAGGAAGATATTCTTCTATATATTGAGCGTTTCCTGGCTTCCTCAGCAGCTTTTTGAACAAATTTTTCCAGCGGTGATCTCCTTTCATCTACTCGGATTTGTCCTTTCCCGGGGCGCTTAGAAGTCGACGTCCCTTCGTCGTTGGCTGAATTGGGTTTAGCATTATCGGGTGCCGAACTACCTTGGGCGGATTCATTAGCCTCGATTCTGGTAATCCTCGCCGGCAAACCGTTATAGGGCTGATTGGAACCTGTCTCGCTATCTTCCGCAGGTATATTTAG